CATACATGACTACTGAAAATGGACCTTTGTTGGCAAAGTGATGTCTCTGCTTTTTAATACACTGTCTAGGTTTGTCATAGCTTTCCTTTCAAGGAGCAAACATGTCTTAACTTCATGGCTGCAATCACATTTAAGTATACCCATATCTTTTTATTTCCAGTGTCCAACCACTGGTGATAAGTGAATAGATGGATAAATGAATAGGTTAGAAATATATTTTAAAAATATAATTCTGAAAATACTGGGTTGGCCAAAAAGTTCATTAAGACTTTTACTAGAATTTTGGCCAACGAATAAAAAGGCCATGCTGAATTTCAGCATTAATGATATTTCTGGACACTCCCTGCCCCCTTTTTTAATTTCCCTTGTCTTCACTGATTTCCCAAATTCTGTGTTTTGCTTTTAATTGGAGGATAATTGCTTTACAATGTTGTGGTAGTCTCTGCCATACACCAAGGCAAATCAGCCATAATTATTTATATGTATGTATCTCCTCCCTCCTGACCGTCTCGCCCCATCCCAGCCCTCTAGGTCATCATAGAGTGCCAGCCTGGGCTCCTTTTGTTATGCAGCAGCTTCCCGCGAGTGATCTATCTTACACATGGTGGTGTGTATGTGTCAAGGCTAAATTCTCAACCCGTCCTACTCTCTCCTTCCGATACTGTCCACCAGTCCATTCTTTACCTATGTGTGATTTCCAAAACTCTAAGCAACATCTCAGGTGACTCTCAGCCAGCACACAGTACACCATTAATCCTGGGTGAAGATTGAGACAGAAAACAGCAGTAAAATAGGAGATAATGGGCTGGAATCACCTCTAGGCCAGCAGGGCTTCACAGCGTTTATTTGCTTTCTGGGGTCAGGTGTGATGTCAGGCCCTTTACAAAGAGGCTTTACTAGCATAAGAAGCAGCTTCCTATTTGTCTTGAAGGATAAAGGCTAGTGTTTCTGAGAATGAGGGCAGACAGAGGAAGGTCATGACTGGTGTGTACAGACATTACCACAAAAAGATGGGCAACTTAAGAACACTGGTGGTTCTGAAATGGACAATGCAGGAATTCAGGATTCTGTTGAGAAGCATCTTTAGCTGCTCTCGAGCTCTCAAAAATAATTAGCACATCACAGCCCAAGGAAGGAAAACAAAAACAAGCATCTGAAACAAAGAGAAGAGCTCCGGAGAGGAGGGGGCCCAGTGGTCGACAGACACATGATTGATGACCAGGACAGGCTGTGACCTGGCACGTGCAGCTGCCAACCACTCACTGGACACTGCAGGAAGTAGCTGGCCCCACATCTCTGCTCTTGGAGGACTACAGGAGGAGTCATAAGAAGTCAAGGTGTGAATGTTTAAAAAGAGAAGAGCCATTTCTTGGGTACCAAGAAATAAAGTTCCAATCAATAAAAACCAAGAGCCTGGGGACAGAAGCTGGAGCAACTCAGTGACACGTCTGACGTTCAGTGTGGACTCTTCCCTCCAGAAGAAAGGGGAACACCAGGCCCTTCTGCGGGCTTTGGGGAACACTGTGAGTTCTCTGTGTCTGGCTGTGTGCTCGGAGCATGCACGTCCTGTGCAATGTCACAGGGCTGTCCTTGATGGGAGTGCACATGGTCTGTTAGCTACTCTTGTCGATAGCACTCTGGATTCTCTTAGAAATAAATGAGGACTCTGCAAACTTTGCACAGTTCCTTGCCCGGGAAGATCAAGGGCTTCATATCACTATTTCTGTTACACTAAATTACCCTTCATGTACATTTGCACTCACTACTGTGTTTATTATCCACCATGTTCCAGACACAGACAGGAAACATGGAGCTTAGTGATGAATGTGCCAAGCATAGATGGAGAAAATGCATCATTTAACTTGGTGACTAAACACACCGGATTCCATCACATGATGGAGTATATTATACATCTTCTGTAAAATGCTTGAGATGTAATTTGAAAACTATAGACGATATCTGACACTGGCTGAACTACCCTTGTGCTGTGATCTGATCCTGACACATTATTTGGGTCAGAGGTCAGCAGACCTCCCCCTAGGGCAGAGCAGCCTGTGGCTGGTTTCTGTACAGTACGCCAGCTGAAAATGGCTTTTGTATTTCAGAAGGTTTGGGAAACATTTTTAAATGAAGAATATATGACGGTGACCATCTGGCTCACAGCAGACACACAGGAACCACCCTGCGTGCCCACCCATCTCTCACTCTGCCCACACCCTTTATATTAGTGCACATTAGCAGAGCGCATCTTAAAGTCTGGACTGTATGATCAGAAGCTCAATCATGTCATTTGTGAGAAGGATCGCTGTCCTTGTGCTTCATCGCCTGCCAAACACAAGCAAAGCATAAACAACCCACAACATCAAGTCCAAACCAGGTATCTGGCTCACAAGGGCTCTGGGAATCAGCGCTTTGTGATAAAGAGTAACTCTCCCTGTAACATGGGGACCTGAAAGCTGAGGCCTCTGAGGCACCAGTTTAACTGGATCTTTAAGATAATACAGAAAATTTCAGTTCTAATTTAGCTTCCTTCCAAGATGAATAAGATGAGAGCATTGATAAGGGAAACAGCTGCCTGGAGGAGTCTCTTGCTTGAAGGCAGGAAATGAAGCCTGAAGGGCAGCAGATATGCCCTGCTTTATCAAGGAGCATAAAAACCAATAACAGGTTTTCTGAGAGAAGTAATTTAAAAGGTCAAGGAAAGGAAGAAAAGCAGGCTGAGGTTCTCTGCAATGACACGCCCATCTGGCTGGTTGCATGTTCTCACTCACAGGCGAGGGACAGTGTAGACACCTGTTTGCTGGGTCCTGCCCAGCACTGTCTGAGCGCTTGAACTGTCTCAACAATTCTGAGATCTTCCCTGGTGGTCCAGTGGATAAGAATTCTCACTGCAATGCAGGGGGCACTGATTGGATCACATGCTGAGGGTCAACTAAACCCATGTGTCAAAACTACTGAAGCCCACAAGCTCTAGAGCCTGTGCTCCATCCACAGCAAGAGAGCCATCACAATGAGGAGCCTGAGCTTCTGGGATAATAGTCCCCACTTGCTACACCTAGAGAGAGCCCGCACAAAGCAGCGAAGACCTAGTGCAGCCAGAATAAATAAATAAACAGATTTTCAAAACAGAGATCCTGTTTTATGAACCAGACATAGGGAGATTAGGATGCCCTGCCTATCAGGTGATATTTTTCTATTAAAATGCTGTGCTTCTAAGATGCCACCAGTAAAAAGTCTGTGAAAAGGAGAGCTAAGAAGATTCTGTCAGAAGATATAACATCTTCAATGGAAAAAGAAAATCATTCTCAGATGCCTGTCTTAGAAAGTCATTAATGTGCACATTTCTCCCCATTCAAAGTACTGATCGAATGCAGCCTGGACAGGTATCCTGCCGGGGGTCCCGGGGCAGCACCCTCATGGTCATAAAGCTAGCAGTGGGGCCTGAAACGACCTGATGCCGACCCTCGGATTTACATCTCCCTCAGTTACTAAAAGGTACATTTTTAGCAAACATTTAAAAATATTATTTTGCACATTTTTTTCTACTTTTTTTTTTTAGAGAAAAGTCAACATCCTAGTGCAGATAGGAAATGTGTAAGTTTTGTTTTTTCCTCTGTCAGAATAAAAGGCATGATGTTCAAACCATCGAGAAAAAACTATACCACCTCCAGAAGACAACTGAAATATTAATTGATATATCACAACATTCAGTCAATTCAGTTCAGTTCAGTCGCTCAGTCGTGTCTGACTCTTTGCGACATTAAATATATATTAAAAGTAATAAATAAATTAAATGGATATTAAAAGTGGGCTCCTAGTGCCACACAGGGGTATTTGTCCACTTATTTATTTGCTTGATTCCAGTTTTCAAGTCCATTCACGGTCCTGTCCAGGGACTCAGCCCCTAGAGGTCAGAGTTTGGAAACCTTTGTCAATTCTGTTTTCAGCCCTTTTCCTGGTTCAGTCTGCTGTTTAGGTCATGGCTTATGTCCTGGGCAATCTGATCTGAGTGCCAAGGACAGGTAGCCCATGGGGCTGTTCTCTGAACAATAATCCTACTTCATAGGCAGAGAGTAATGAAACATTTAAAGAAAATGAGAAGTATTTCTTCTTTTGAAAGAAAAAGAACTCTTCTTGGGGAAAAAAATCATTCCTAATGAAACAAGCTCATTGGATCTTATGTTTATCTTACATTAAAGAAGAATTTCGGGAGGTACAACATAAATGATGCAGGCTAGGTGTCTGCTTAACTTCTTGTGGTTAAAAAGACATACAACATTGTGATAAATATCTATTATTGTCTCAGAGAGCAATACTAGAAAGTCTAATATCTAATGAAAGCTGAGAAACATGGAAATCCATATGAGGTTCCATTCATAAAATGTAATTAGCTATCAAAGACCAATATATTTCATTATGCATATAAATTTTGATAAGACAAAACTATGAAAATTTCAAAGTCCTCAATTAAAATTAAAATGCCTTATTTGGAAATATGATTTTTATGCACATGGGAGATAAAATGGGGAAAAAGGCATGAGATATTGAAATCAACTCTAACAAGTCCTAGCTTTATGTGACCAAAAGAAAATGAAATATGCAGTGTGAGGCTCAATGTATGAGTTTTTAATCTAAGAGAAGGGAAAATGAGCTTCAGTAATTGATTTTTTAAAATTTATACAACTGTCAAGAAAACTCTAAGTTGGATAACATAGTTTTTAATTTTAAAATGAAATATAAGTCAAGTATTAAGGTAACTTTCCACAGCATCTAGTGAGTGTTCAAACCATCCTATGAATTCAGGCTATAAAGCTCAATCAAGCCTAGTGCAAATGTTAGAAGTGTTTGCACGGTCAGTAGAAAGTTTAATTTGTACTTTAATGAACTCACATTCAATTTTCCCTTACCTTTTAATCCATAATCACAGCTCCAGTAAGTTGTGATTAAAATAAGAGTAGTAAATTGAACTCAAGTTTGGGAATGAAAAACACATTTCTTACCCTGGCAGAGTGGAGCAAGGGAATCCCACTGATACATGCCAACTGGATTCCGTCTACAGGTGGCATTGCTATGGCCAATCATCCGATACCCAGGTTTGCAGAAATACTGCACTTTACTTCCAATTTCTCCTGTAGTCCTATTTAAAACACCACCATTCTTCACGGTGTGGGTCAAGCTGCAGTAAGGTGCTGTGGGCACACAAACACACATACATAAACAAATAAATAAATGTTGAATTTTGCTTGGTAAGAGACATATAAATGAAAGAGAGTCTCTCTATTGTTAAAATAGTGGGAAATCAGCACTGATACAGAAACTTTACTAAAAGCATCTTCAAGTACAAAAATGTTGTAGATGTGGATGCAAGGGTGTGGAGCAAGAGGAACTCTCATTCATTGCTGATGGGGATCCAAAATGGTGCAGCCACTTTGGAAGACAGTGTGGCAGTTTCTTGCAAAACTACACACACTCTTATCACGTGATCCAGCAATCATGCTCCTTGGCAGTTACCCAGAGGAGCTAAAAACCTATGTCCATACAGAAACCTATGCCCAGATGTTCAGAGCAGCATTATTCAGAGTTGCCAAAACTCAGAAGCAACCAAGGTGCCCTTGAGTAGGTAAGTGAATAAACCAACTGTGGTCCATCCAGACAATGCAGTATTATTCAAGGCTAAAAAGAAATGATCTGTCAGAAGCCATGGAGAGACATGGAGGAGCCTTAATTACATATGATTAAGTGAAAGAAGCCAACCTAAAAAGGATACACACTGCATGATTCCAAACTTATGACATTCTAGAAAAAGTAAAACTCTGGAAAAAGTAAAAAGATTAGTGGTTTCCAGAGGCTGATGGGGGAAGGACAGTGAAGCTTGAAGGATTTTCAGCAGTGAAAATACCATGCATGAATCCACAATGGTGGATTAATGTCACTTTACATTTGTCCAAATGCACAGGATGTTCAATACCAAGAGTGAACCCAGTGGGAGCTATGGACCTTGGGTGATAATGATGTGTCAGTGTAGGTTAACAAATGTAGCCTCTGCTGATGATGTGAACAAGGAGACAAAAGCCAAGGAGTATGGGGGAAATCTCTGAAACTTCCTACCAATTTGCTGGCTTCTTAAAAAAAAAAAAAAATTCATGTAGCTGAGTCACTCTGCTCTGCACCTGAAATGGTCACAGCATTGTTAATGGGCTATACTCCTGTACAAAATAAAAAGTTAAATAAATAAATAATCCAAAAAAATTCAAAAGTTATCATTTTAAAAAAAGCCAAGAAATCTAGACCCAAGGGTCAAGTCTCTTGAGTTAGAAGTTTAGATTATCTACAACTGTTAACCAATGTGGTGGTAAAATTCTGACTTTCTGACCAAAAAAAAAAAAAAAAAGTACCACGAAAATGGAGAAAATTTAAGAACATAATATCTTTCAATCAAGGCCATTAATTTTTCCCTTGTTGTTAAATGAATCCTGAGAATTGTACCATGAGGTAGCCTCTTTTTAACACGTATGATTTGAATACCATCTTTGAAGAAAATGTACTACTTCATGTTGATGACCATGTTACAATAGCTTTAGTCATCACATTTGCAGGGAGACTTGTAAAATTAGAGACAGGAATTGTGAAAATCAGTCTTACCTGCACAGAATCTAACCTTTCGGTGGCTGAAGGCTCTGCATCTTATTTACACATTTAGAGAAAGAAACTCAGTTTACTCTTACAAGACCAGTTTCACCACAGCATAAAATCCTATGAACCCCCTTCAGATGAGTAAAACACTAAACTAAAGAAAGCTGTGAAGTCCTGGAAATCCAGGGTTTCTTTTGAAAGAGGAGGTTTTAAATGTCCCACTCCCCTGTGGGGGTTCCACACAGCACACACACACAGGTCTGAAGGCTTAATGCCAAATTTTTCCTTAGAAATAAATTCAAAAGGACCCTTCTGAAGACTTCACATCGTAGCATTGCTGAGAAGTGATGTCTGTGTGTCTGGCTGGGTTGTCAACCATGCTCCTCTGAGATGAATCCTCAGAGAATAGTCTCAGCCAGAGGGTCTTCTGAAGTGCTGTTTCATTTTTTGTTTTTAACAGACTCATTTTTATTAAGGTAAAATCCACTAACTCTTAGAAGAAACTTGCATCTTATTGGTCATGGCATTTCTGTGTTCAATTGTTTGAGATTATCTATTTTAAGTTTTGAATGAACCAAAATATTTGGTTTAGGGAAGGTATGAGTATAATCAGGCACCTCAGCTACCAACTACCCAGAATTATTGTGTCAATAAATTAAAATAATAATAAAAAGTAGGAAGACCAAGCAGACTGTTGACCCTGGCCAAGTTTAGAGATAAAGTCTGAAATGCTCCTGAAGGGGCAGTGGGACCACATGGTTCTTGGTATGGGTTTTTGTCACAGTTCAGTCTGTTAAGAGAGAGGAACTGCAGGATAATTGTCCAGCTCTATAGGGTCCAACAGAGCCTTATCTTATTTCTTCAAGAAAATTAGAGATATCAAGGAAACATTTCATGCAAAGATGGGCTCAATAAAGGACAGAAATTGTATGGACCTAACAGATGCAGAAAATATTAAGAAGAGGTGGCAAGAATATACAGAACTATACAAAAAAGATCTTCATGACCTAGATAACCACGATAATGTGATCACTCAGCTAGAGCCAGACATCCTGGAAAGAGAAGTCAAGTGGACCTTAGGAAGCATCACTACAAACAAAGCTAGTGGAGGTGATGGAATTCCAGTTGAGCTATTTCAAATCCTAAAAGATGATGCTGTGAAAGTGCTGCACTCAATATGCCAGCAAGTCTGGAAAACTCAGCAGTGGCCACAGGACTGGAAAAGGTCAGTTTATATTCCAATGCCAAAGAATGTTCAAACTACTGCACAACTGCACTCATGTCACACGCTAGTAAAGTAATGCTCAAAATTCCCCAAACCAGACTTCAACAGTATGTGAACTGTGAACATCCAAATATTCAACAGGGGTTTAGAAAAGGCAGAGGAACCAGAGGTCCAATTGTCAACATCTGTTGGATCATCAAAAAAGCAAGAGTTCCAGAAAAACATTTGCTTCTGCTTTACTGACTATACCAAAGCCTTTGACTGTATGGATTACAACAAACTGGAAAATTCTTCAAGTGATGGGAATATCAGACCACCTTATCTGCCTCCTGAGAAATCCATATGCAGGTGAAAAAGCAATAGTTAGAACTGGACATGGAGCAACAGACTGGTTCCAAATTGGGAAAGGAGTATGTCAAGGCTGTATATTGTCATCCTGCTTATTTAACTTACATGCAGAGTACATCATGTGAAACGCTGGACTGGATGAAGCACAAGCTGGAATCAAGACTGCAGGGAGAAATATCAATAACCTCAGACACACAGATGACACCACTCATATGGCAGAAATTGAAGAAGAACTGAAGAGCCTCTTGATGAAAGAGAGAGAGGGGTGTGAAAAAGTTGGCTTAAAACTCAACATTCGGAAAACTAAGATAATGGCATCCAGTTCCATCATGGCCAATAGATGGGGAAACAATGGAAACAGTGAGAAACTTTATTTTTGGGGGCTCCAAAATCACTGCAAATACTGACTGCAGCCATGAAATTAAAAGAAGCTTGCTCCTTGGAAGAAAAGCTATGACCAACCTAGACAGCATATTAAAAAGCAGAGACATTACTTCATCAACAAAGGACCATCTAGCTAAAGCTATAGTTTTCCCAGTAGTCATATATGGATGTGAGAGTTGGACGATAAAGAAAGCTGAGCATCAAAGAATTGATGCTTTTGAACTGTGGTGTTGGAGAAGACTCTTGAGAGACCCTTGGACTGCAAGGAGATGAAACCAGTCCATCTTAAAGGAGATCAGTCCTGGGTGTTCATTGGAAGGACTGATGCTGAAGATGAAACTCCAGTACTTTGGCCACCTGATGTGAAGAGCTGACTCTTTTGAAAAGACCCTGATGCTGGGAAAGATTGGAGGCAGGAGGAGAAGGGGACGACAGAGTTTGAGTAAACTCCGGGAGTTGGTGATGGACAGGGAGGCCTGGCGTGCTGTAGTCCATGGGGTCGCAAAGAGTTGGAAATGACAGAGCGGCTGAACTGATAGGGTTCAATAACTATTTCCTTTCCTACTGACAGTTTCTTCTCTCATCATTAGTTCCTTTCTAACTCATCTAGCACAAGATATAGAGAGGCCCAAGCACAGGGACATGGTGAGGATGCTGAGTCACTCAGTCATGTCTGACTCTGTGAGACCCCATGGACTGTAGCCCACCAGGCTCCTCTTTCAGTGGAATCCTCCAGGCAGGAATACTGGAGTGGGTTCCCATTTCCTTCTCCAAGGGTTCTTCCCAACTGAGGGATTGAACCCACAACTCTTAACTCTCCTACATTGGCAGATGGGTTCTTTACCCCTAGCGCACCTGGGAAGCCCAAGGAGACGTGGCACAGAAAACAGAGGGGAAGACTAGAACACAGAGTCCTGCCTGTTTGATTTCTGACCATGCTAAGAATTAAAAGGACCACAGTCAAACCCTCACATTCTGCTGGTGCTGCCTTGGAAGAGCAGGTTATGGAGGGTGGCAGTCAAGGAGGTATTAGGGATGGAAGACATGGGTGCAGCTGGCTCTGCTGGGGTCTGGGTGTATTTACAACACCCATTCTCTAGTTCTGACTCTCCCAACACTGAAAGTGAAAGTCACTCAGTCGTGTTCGACTCTCTGTGACCCCACGGACTATATAATCCATGGAATTCTCTAGGCCAGAACACTGCAGTGGATAGCCTTTCCCTTTTCCAGGGCATCTTCCCAACCCAGGTATCAAACCCAGATCTCCTGCATTGCGGGCTGATTCTTTACCAACTGAGCCACAAGGGAAGCCCACAACTTATCATTAACTTCCAGGTACTTGATTTAATGAGCTTCCCAGGTTGTGCTAGTGGTAAAGAAACTACCTGCCAAGCCAGGAGACTTAAGAGATGTGGGTTCAGTCCCTGGGTCAGGGAGATCCCCTGTAGAAGGTCACAGCAACCCACTGCAGTATTCTTCCTTGAGAATCCCACGGACAGAGGAGCCTAGTGGGCTACATCCAGGGGTCGCAAAGAACCAGACATGACTGAAGCAACTTAGCAAACATGCATGCCCTTGATTTAATAGTGAATGACCATTACTACCTCAACAATTAGTCAGCAGTTTATTGAATTAACTTGAACCATGATGTACAAGCACTTGCTTTTGTTGTTGTTGTGTTTTGTTTGTCAATTATGTAGATCAGTTACATGGTTCTTACACCCAATGGCCAATAGTTGACATGCATAAGGCAAAGATTTGTGGCGCAACATGTGGTCATATTATGGGCTGTAGCTCCCTGGCCTACGTGCTATAGTCCAAGGATCACTGCTCTAAAACTACTGGTGATGGACTCCTAGCAGTGGTCATTGAACCATCACCGAATTTTAACTGAAATGCTGTTCAAAGGTCTATCTGTATCTATATCTATAGAGAGATACATAGATATGTCCACTCACAAAACAACAGTTTATAGCCTTCTCTTTAAATTTTTCTTTTTCCTGCTTTTCCAATAAAGAGAATCATCTTGTTCTATAATGAATGAAAATACCCTTTGAGTGACAGAATTCAAGGTGTAATCACACCACCAGCCTATTAAGTAATTTGCCACAGATAAAATAAGATAAATTATGTTCATAATGATTTCCCCTGCAATGTCCATTTTTGCTCATTAGAAATAAATTCAAATAATTCTACAGGCTTGAGTATTTATTTTTCAGAACAAGGAATATGATGAACAAAAATCCAGTCATTGTCCTAATGATCTCAATACCCATTCCAATGAAGGGATTTCAAATGTGAACTCATTGTTGATAAGTTTTTTGAATGGCTACTTTAGTGAAGGGGAAAAACAAAGATCTAAGCATGTTTTATTAGACTTTATAGAGGAAACATGAGTGAATTTCACATTCTCTGTCTTTCCATCAACAGACACGTCAAAACACTAATGCTTTTTCAAAGCTTTTTATCATTTCATGATACCTACCAATCGGAGAGAGCAAAAATATTCCTAAAACTACTAACACCTTTCTCTGCCCAAAGGATGTTGCCCTTCACTGACAATGTACAACAGACCTGGAATAAGCAACCCCTGGGAGTTACACTGGTCCATGAAATGCATAGAGTGGGCATCTAATTCCCTTGGGAAATGGACCTCAGTTGCTAGCATGGATATCGTAGTAACAGTGAGAAAAGGTTAGATATTTTGCTTAGTAATTAAAATATGAGGAGTTTAGATTGTCTGTCTACAGCTTTTGTAGGGCATTGTAAACATGAGGTTTTGGGCTAGCCACATTGAGAGGATCTAATCTCTCAGAAGTATATTAACTGATTTAATTAATATAAAAAAACTACTGAAAATAATAAATAAATTATTATTTATTATAAATAATAAAAATAAATAAATTATATGGGGAAAAAAACAAAGTCCTTAAAATGTCGATAAGGAAATATATATGTAGACATTTATTTTGTATATGGTTACGTGTGTGTGTGTGTGTGTGTGTATAGTATCTTGCAATAAAGAGACATACAAATATATAATCAATAAAAATACATGCTACTAATCATAAGATGTTATTATTACTTATAAAATTAAATGCAATACAATTATCTCCTCCTGTTTGTCTCCTTAGCTTTTAAACATATTTTAAAATTAAAATATGCTTTATTTATTTTACTATATATTTATGCTATATTACAATATTTTATTTTTGGGGAAAGCATCTCTACTTTCTGTGCCATGCAGTTCAATGGGTTATGATGCTAGCAAAAAAATATTTATTAATATTAATCAACAGATAGTTTATTTTCCCTCACACAGTTTAGAGATATCACTCAGAGTGATTTCATCATATTTCTACTGAAGTACATATTCATTTTTAGAAATTAGGTTTATAGTATAAACCTTTAATTTTTAAAATTTAATGCAGAACCTTTATATTAAAAACATTTTTATATTAAACCTTAACTTCACTTACTGACCTGAATAACGAATCTTGAATCCTTTTTTACTGGTTGCATGGTCAGTGGACCAGCGGAGATATAACTGATTACTCTTGCTTGTAAAATTTGATTGTTCAGTATGGTTTCCACTCAAGACCACTAACAGAGGACTTTGACCAGAAGACCCTAAATGAAACAAAAAAAAAAGCAAATAAGTTATGATATGAATTAGCACCTACAAAATATAGGCTACTTTTAGCTTTTGATTAAGTTGGAGTCTAACTGTACAATATTCAGCTATTTATTTCCAAAAGAGACAAAGAACTCCAAATAAATAAAGCAACAGGTACAGTTCCCCATAAAAATAATAATAATAAAAGAAACAATAGCCAACAAAAATAATTTCAGATATATATGCTGTTAATACATAATACTTGAAATGAAAAAGTTACTTATAAAATGGCAGTAATTTAAAAAATGAAAATAGTTCCCACTACTATTAGTATATGCAACATTGAATCAATATAGGGAATTGAATACTAGTAAAAGTACTGTTTAGTCCCTAAGTCATGTCTAATTCTTTGGGACCTCCTGGTCTGCAGCACTCCAGGCTTCCCTGTCCTTCCTATCTCCCAGAGTTTGCTCAAATTCACGTCCATTGAGTCAGTGATGCCATCCAACCATCTCATCCTCTGTGGTCCCACTTTCGCTTTTGCCCCAAATCTTTCCCAGCATCAGAGTCTTTTTCAATGAGTTGGCTCTTTGCATCAGGTGGCCAAAGTATCAGAGCTTCAGCTTCAGTAGTAGTCATTTTAATGAACAGTCAGGGTTGATTTCCTTCAGGATTGCCTGGTTTGATCTTGCAGTCCAGGGGACTCTCAAGAAGAGAGAGCACTAGCACTATAATTTGAAAGCGTTAATTCTTTGGTGCTCAGGCTTCTTTATGGTCCAACTCTCACATCTGTACATAGCTTTGACTATACGGGCTTCCCAGGTGGCTCAGTGGTAAAGAATCCATCTGCCAATGCAGGAGACATGGGTTCGATCCCTGGGTTGGGAAGACCCCCTGGAGAAGGAAATGGCAACCCACCCTAGGATTCACGCTTGGGAATGGAGGATCCTGGTAGGCTATAGACCATGGGGTCACAAAGAGTTGGATACAGCTTAGTGATTAAACAGCAGCAGTGAAAATAAAAATTAGTACAATCACCTTGGAGAGCAGTTTAGTAATATCCAATACAATTGTAGGTTTTAATTATATTTTTTATAAACTCCAGACTATGTGCACAAGTGTTGTTTGCATAGCAAAATGTTTATTCTAACAATTTTTATAGGAAAATTTAGATTCTAACTTGTGGTTTGGAGTTTAAAAAGATATTAAAAGTGTTTTCAAAGAAATTCTACACAGATTAAAAATGATATTGAGAAGTGAAATCTATTTTCAAATAAATACAATAGGATAGCAATTGTGTAAACATTCAAAAGTGTACAATATACAAACCGTGTGTGAGTGTTCATGTCTGTGAGTGTATAGACAGATGATACTTGGTAGTAGATAGACAGACAGATTGATAGACTGATAGAGATAGGAAATGAACCATGAAACATGCACAGGCACTACACTTCACAATATTAAATGCCTCCAGGAGAGGTGCAAAACTGGGTGTGCAAGGAGCTCCTATATTGATCTGAACTTGTTGCTTCTTTGAAAAAAGTACACAAGATAAATCTGACAAAATCCTAAAATGTAGTACATCAAGCAATGAGTCCATACTCACATACATTAAAAAAAAAAAACCTCTGTATATTTAATTTTTAAAAATTGAAAAAAAAATAAAGCTAATACTTAACATCGTTAATAGTCAGCTGGCACTATTCTCAGCACCATAAGCTGACACTGTTTGTTGAGACAAGTCACTCTACTGAATTCAGAAGCTGCATCCACACTTTAAGGTCTCCTCCAGGACACCCCTTGATGCCATCTCAAATTCTAACAGGCTTCATGGCTTTCCTGCCAATGCAAGAGACGCAGGAAACTCAGGTGTAATCCCTGGGTCAGGAAGATTCCCTGGAGAAGGAAATGGCAACCCATTCCAGTATTCTTGCCTAGAGAATACCATGGACAAGTGTTGTCTGTGCTGTTTTACTTGTTGTTTGAAGAGATCATTTATATTCTAAAATGAAATGCCACTGGGAAATAAATTCACCTGAATTTATACAATTTTAAAATGTCATTTTTAATGATAGAACTCGAGTCAAGTTTCAGATATTCTTAATCAAACATGTAATCCTTCAATATCTTTCATCTCTTGTCTTTGCTTATCATGTAACAAACTTTCTAAAGGATTATTCTTTAAAAATATACACATCCATAATGAATAGTAGTATCATCTCTTTTATTAAGGTGAAAATTAGAAAATTCTGCACAAGTGAAGACTACCATCTGTATTTTGACACATTTCTCAGTTGAGTTCTATAATGACTTAAGTTCTATTTTGTTTTTAAATTGAGGAATATTCACTACTTGAGCCGTGTGTGTGTGTGTGTGTGCGCGCTCAGTCGCTCAGTCATGTCCAACTCTTTGCGGCCCCATGGACTGTAGCCCACTGATCTCCTATGCCCATGGAATATTCCAGGCAAGAATACTGAGGTGGGTTGCCATTTCCTCCTCCAGGGAATCTTCCTGACCTATGGGACAAACCTGCATATCTTGTGTCTCCTGCATTGGCAGGCAGATTCTTTACCACTAGCACCACCTGGAGCCATGCTGCTGCTGTTAATAAAGCTTAAAATTGATATAGTCAATTTATTTATTTTTTTTTGCCAACTCAAGAGCTATAAAACAGCCACCATGTTTCAAAAAAACAAAAGAGATGCGATGAACATGACATTTACTGCAACAAAAATGCCAATGCTTAGAAAATTATTCATATGAAACTCTGACCTTTCATTTTATAGAAAAATCTTTGAGAGTAAAACCAAACCTACTCATAGATCTCTGGAAATTTTGACAGCAACTGCTTTGATATTATCTCCATTAGCTATTTTGCTTGTGGTTTATCATGGGCGTGATCTGTCTGTATTTGGAGGGAGCTCACACTGTAAATGCTTTGGGCATAAATTATTGATAATGATTTTGCTTCTGAAATTAGAAGAGGTAGAAGCACCGCCAGCTAAACTTCAATTCTACCAAAGTAAAACAAAGGAACCCACATATATTTAGAATGATTATGTATATATATATAACTACATACAGAATTTATAGGAATACATATACACAAAGACACACACACAGCCCCTGGAGGTTGGTTGCCTGCCTTTACTATTTGTGACATCTAATCAGCCTCAAAGGCACAGTTTCCCTGGCTCCTCATTGACAAAAGAAGCCTGTTTGTGTACCTGGCTAATGTGTTACTTCTTCCCATCCTAGAGATTAAGGGCCAAGGCATCAATAGTACATGTCTGTTTTAACATGCACTTAAAAACTCTGAAAATGAAAATATTACTCTTCAGTTCTCTGTTTCTACATATATGAGTTTAATTTCCAATTTGGCCGCTCATCTTTGGAAATCCATAAATCTATTTACTGTATATCCTCAGAAGCAACTTGAATATTATGATTCATCAAGTCAGTAAAAGGCATGCAAATATACACAGAATCAATTACAGTATTTTTTTTCACTGAATTGATTGTTATTTATCCGAACTCAGTGACAAATCCATCAAAACGTGAAAACCCTATTATTATCTACAGCCATAACTGTATCATGGTCTAATTTTGGGGCTATGATAATGCTTCTGTACAAAGAAAAATTATTAACATCAGTTTCATTTCAAATCAACAATTCAAGCACATACTATGTTTTAGCAGAGCACTGTCATTTTAAAATGTTCATTAGAATTGTACAAAAATGCATAAGACTAACATTGAAAACAGTATTAGCATTTGTTCAGGGAACTATCTCTAAAAAAATTCTACATTAAGAATACTATAGCATTTATCACCCAGAAAACTCTATGAGCCATTACTTTTATATATTTCTAGTAAAACAATCATTTAGACCGATTAAAGTACTTATAGCCCTCTGCCCTCTTAAATTCCCTAAAATATCTTCTAGATCAATATAATCTTAGAAGAAAGGAAAGGAAGAGCTTCTGAAACATCTATACTTTAAAGCCTGATGTCAAAGAATTAAAGAGTGGTTAATGTAAATTTAGTACATTTTTAAGGTGTATTAAACCAGCATTTTAATGGTTTAAATTTGCAACATTAAGAAGGGCATGGTGATGTTTTTCCTATCACTTGATCTCTGAGACCACACTAGTCCAAGAATAATTCATTTTCCATTTGGGGGGAGATGTAATTTACCTCAAAAATATACTCAGGTTTGTGCATTACAAAATATAACAGGATTCTTATTAAATTATGTATAGATCCCTGTTATGTATTCTTTTTTTGGCTGCACCTAGAGGCATGTGGGATCTTTGTTCCCTGACCAGGGATCCAACCCACGCCTTCCAGAGTGGAAGCTCAGAGTCTTAACCATTGGACCACAAGAGGGTCCCAAGGTTGCTGGTATGTTAACAAAGTTTGAAGAGACTTACCATCAAATACTTCCAGTGCATCAAATTGCTTCTCACTTTGAAATGTGTCTACAAAGATAGTGATGTTGTAGTTTGGTTCCACTCGGATGCTCCAGGAGCAGGTCTGGGAGTTAAAATAGTTGCCTGGATACCCTGGGCTGAGGATGACGCCAGAGGATTCTGTCCGGACTTCATTGGCTGGGCATTGTGCTAAGGAAAAAAGCACCAAGAAAAGTTTTCTTTAACAAAATCAATTCCTGGGTATGCAAGCTCATGGGAGAAAAGAAAAAGCAATCTTATTGGGTCAATTTGACCAGATTTAGTAGATGATACACACAGAGCCTTTTCATCCTGTTCACGGGGTTCTCAAGGCAAGAACACTGAAGTGGTTTGCCATTCCCTTCTCTAGTGGACCACATTTTGTCACAAGTCTCCACCATGACCCGTCCATCTTGGATGGCCCTACACAGCACGGCTCATAGTTTCACTGAGTTAGACTAGTCTGCGGTCCATGTGATCAGTGTGGTTAGTTTTCTGTGATTGTGGCTTTCATTCTGTCTGCCTCTGAGGGATAAGGATAAGACGCTTATGCAGTGTTGTTACATCAGAGCAGAACCCAGCTCTGGCTCTGCTGTTGCTAAGTCGCTTCAGTCGTGTCTGACTCTGTGGGACCCCACAGATGGCAGCCCACCACGCTCCCCTGTCCCTGGGATTCTCCAGGCAGGAACACTGGAGTGGGTTGCCATTTCCTTCTCCAATGCATGAAAGTGAAAAGTGAAAGTGAAGTCGCTCAGTCGTGTCCGACTCTTCACGACCCCATGGACTGCAGCCCACCAGGCTCCTCTGTCCATGGGATTTTCCAGGCAAGAGTGCTGGAGTGGGGTGCCATTGCCTTCTCTGAGCTCTGGCTCTACTGTACATTTAAAGCAGGTCCAGGGATATCATAAAACCCTAGGCCCTGTGTACATGCAGACAGAAAAAAAACTCAACATTTTACTTTACCTTTTTAATGTCATCACATTTCCTTAACTTGAGAACACTCACTTTTGTGATACCCCTCTGTGCTAAAATACACTTAGCCTGTGTCTGGGGCCCCTGGTAGGAGCTCCCCAAACCCTTGGAATTTCCTGAGGGCTAGAAGTGTCTTTGCAGCTCCAAAGGCCCCTCCGGGTGACACCTGAGTCTGAGCTGATGAGGTGACTCAGGGTGGGTCTGTGTAGCCTCAGAAGGGCTGGTGACCACAAGCACCCAGGGATGAGAGGGTGCAGACTTTCTGCCCACTCACACACCTGGGGGAAGCAGGGATAGTGGGGCTGGGGTACTGGAGACTTGGTTGCACCAAAGCTCTTAAACAATGCATTTGTTGAGTCTGTGGGATGGTGAAGGCACACACGGGGTGGGAGGGTGGGCATCCCAGGTCCTGGGAGACACCTCCAGGCCCTGCCCTTTGAACCCTACTAGTTCACTGCACTGTTGTGAGTCACATTTGTTTCCCTGATTTTTGTGAGCTGTTCTAACAAAGGATCAAACCAGAGAGGGGGGTCCCAAGACGGCAGAGGAATCGGACAGGGAGAACACCTTCTCTCCCACAAATTCCTCAAAATATCATTTGAATGTTGAGCAACTTCCACAAAACAACTTCTGAATGCTGGCAGAGAACACCAGGCACCCAGAAAGGCAGCCCAATTTCTTTGAAAGGAGGTAAGATAAAATATAAAAGATGAAAACAGAGACAAAACATTGAGGGACAGACCCATCCTGGGGAGGGAGTCATGAAGGAGGAGAACTTTCCACACAGTAGGAAACCCTCTCACAGGCGGGTCTGCAGGGTGTTTTAGAATCTCAGAGGGCAACATAAAGGGAGAAAAACAACAACAGCAACAACACAGACTCTGTGCCTAACTGCCGCTGCCAGAGGAGAAGCAGCCTAGATGCTCACATCCTCCACCAGCAAGTAGGGGCTGGGCAGGGAGGCACAGGCTGAACCACTGGTCCTTAGGGTAAGGACAGGGCCTGAATGCCCTGAGGACAATCTAAGGGACATAACATGAGACAGTAACCCAAACTGTGGGATTGCCAGGAGACAAAAATAAACCTTTCCTGCAAAATGCTTTAACTATCAGCCTGGCACGCTCACAGAACAAAGGACTGAGTGAATACCAAAGGAGAGCTAACGGGCTGTGGGCTGTGTGTAGGCCCCTCCCGCCTCTGAAGGCAGAGAGGCAGGCCTGCTACAGCCAGGGCTGGAAGGCAAGGGGCTGCTTCAATCTCAGCCCCAGAGATGGCATCTTCCACCATACTGTGAGGCTCCCAGTTGCTAACCATGTCTTCCTGGGATCCTAGATGGTTGACATCTGCCATGAGTGTCACAGCCTGAGGTCAGCTCCCCAGAGGAGACATACAGCGCACGTGAGATGGCGCTCTTGCAGTGCCGCTGGGAAACCGAGCGCCTGGGACCTGGGAGGTGATTAAGACACACGGCCCACCTGGGACAGTGCACTCACCAAGCACGTGGTCGCCTGAGCTGCGCGGACCTGGGGAGGGCACAGAACGCACAGCCCAACCTGGTCTGTGCCCTTGTGGAGCATCCGAGAATCTGAGCGGCTTAGACCTGGGAAGTACATAAAATGCAGGGCCCACCTGGGAGAGGGTCCTTGCAGAGCTCCATGGAGCCTGGGCATTGTAGACCCGGGAAGCACATGGTGTCTTGGACTGGGGCAAACCCAGCGTGGCCCAGACACTGCAAACACTCCCCACAGATACCAGTGAAATTTGTTTACAGAGTCCCTGCCTCCACACAACACAACTGAACAAATGAACCTAGTAAGTGACCATCTTTGCCCCCTTCTGTCAGGGTGGAAATTAGACACAGAAGAGACTTGCAAACAGAGGAAGCCAAAATAAACAAAGGAGAGGGAACCACTCTGGAAGTGACAGGTGCAACAGACTAAAACCCTGCAGTTAATACTGACTGTGCATTGAAGGGGGCCCATAGACCTCAAGAACAAGTGCAAGCTGGAACAAGGAACTATCTGAAACTGAACTGAGCCCACACTGCCCATAACAGCTCCAGAGAAATTCATAGATATATTTTTACTATTAATGCTTCTTAATTAGAAAAATTAAGTTCTTAATTAGAAAAATTAAGTTCTTTATTACTCCTTTAATTTTCATTTTTATAACCTACAGTTACCTTGCAAAAATAAAAGACCCTATTTTTAAAGCAAGTTTCAAATATATATGTGTGTGTGTTAATCTTTCTGATTGACTTTGCTTTGTATTTTTTATATTGTATTTTTGAGAGTCTAAACTCTACTCTAGATTTTTAATCTTTGCTTTTTGGTATTTGTTATCCATTTTGTATCTTTAAGAATCTAATCTTCAGTATCCATTTTCACTTAGGGATTTGATTACTGGCTCGATTGCTTTCTCCCCTTTTGAACCTCCCTTTTCTCCCCCAGGTCACCTCTATCTCCTTCCTCCCCCTTCTCTTCTCTGCTTAATTATGTGAATCTCTCTGGGTGTTCTGGGCTGTGGAGAACACTTCGGGAACTGATTACTGACTAGATTGCTCTCTCCCCTTTTGACTTCTCCTCTCCTGGTCATCTATATCTTCATCCTACCTCTTCTCTTCTCTATGTAACTCTGTGGATCTCTATGTGTGTCGCTCAATTCTGTGAATTCACCACTAACCTAGTTGTTTTATCATCTGTGCTATATGAGGATACTGTAAGAGAAGGACTGAAAGACAGAAGCAGGAGGCTTAACTCCAAAACTTGAGAACGTCAGAGAACTCTTGATTCCAGGGAACATTAGTACACAAGAGCATACCCAGAAGTCTTCATATCTACACTGAAACCAAGCTCCACCCAAGAGCCAACAAGTTCCAGTGCAAGACACACCCGCTAATTCTTCAGTAAATCAGGAACACAATACTGAGCATTTAAAGACAGGCTGCCCAAAGCCATGCCAAACCTGTAGACACCCCAAAACTCACTACTGGACACTTCATTGCACTCCAGAGAGAAGAGATCCAGCTCTACCCACCAGAACACAAACACAAGTTCCCCAAACCAGGAAACCTTGACAAGCCACTAGTCCAACCCCACCCACAGGGAGTAGATGCCACAATAAAGAAGAATCACAAACTTCAAATCTACAGAAATGGCACACCAAACACAGCAATCTAAACAAAATGAAAAGGCAGAGAAAGATTCAACAGGTAAAGGAACATGATAAATACCCACCAAACCAAACAAAAGAGGAGGAGATAGGGAATCTACCTGAAAAGGAATTCAGAATAATGATAGCAAAGATGATCCAAAATCTTGAAAAGAAATTGGAGTTACAGATAAATAGACTAGAGACAAGGATTGGGAAGAAGCAAGAAATGTTTAACAAGGACCTAGAAGAAATAAAGAAGAGTCAATTAATAAAGGGAACAATGCAATAACTGAGATTAAAAGCTCTCTAGAGGGAACCAACAGTAGATTAACTGAGGCAGAAGAGAGGATAAATGAGGTGGAAGATAGAATGGTGGAAATAAATGAAGCAGAGATGAAAAAAGAAAAGAGAATTAAAAGAAATGAGGACAACCTCAGAGACCTCTGGGACAATGTTAAACACCCAAACATTTGAATCATAGGAGTCCCAGAAGAAGAAGAGAAAAAGAAAGGGGATGAGAAAATACTTGAGGAGATAATAGTTGAAAACTTCCCTAAAATGGGGAAGGAAATAGCCCCCCAAGTCCAAGAAACCCAGAGTCCCAAATAGGATAAACCCAAGGCAAAACACCCCAGGACACATATTAGTCAATTTAACAAAGATCAAGCACAAAGAACAAATATTAAAAGCAGCAAGGGAAAAACAACAAATAACACACAAGGGGGTCCCCATAAGGATAACAGCTGATCTTTCAATAGAAACTCCTCAGGCCAGAAGCAAATGGCAGGACATAATTAAAGTGATGAAAGAGAAAAACCTATGACCAAGATTACTATACCCAGCAAGGATCTCATTCAGATATGAAGGAGAAATTCAAAGCTTTACAAACAAGCAAAAGCTGACAGAATTCAGAATTGCACCACCAAACCAGCTCTTCAACAGATGGTACAGGATCTTCTCTAGAACAGGAAACACCGAAAAGGTTTATAAAATTGAACCCAAAACAACAAAGTAAATGGCAATGAGATCATACTTATCAATAATTA